CTCTGCTACAGCCCGACTTGTGATCCTTGGAGGTATTTGCTCTGTGGTAAATGGATAATCATTTGTTTAGTAAAAGGCTGCATAATAAGCATTCATTCCAGCCAAGCCCACAGGCCAGTGGCAAGTGATACACCAGGTAATGCACATCTGCTTCTATCAGAGGAACACAATGGAGTGCCCCAAGAAGGAGGCAGGGGTGCTTCTGGGTGGGTCTGATAGCTCCCCTCTGGCTGAATCTTTTGCAAGTGCAGGAGATGTGTCACATCCACATCAACACTCAGCCCAGCAGAGGCTATTCTCTCCTCTTGCAGAAGAAAGACCTGTCCCGTCTGTCCTTCTCTCCTTGAAGACTCATCACTAGGATGCCTGTGGCCCATGGCAGATGTGGAAGAGCTGTTTAAGGTTACTTCTGGCATGAGAACACTGATGAAGACGGAAATGTGACAAAAAGGATATGTTAAGCATCAAGGGAGTTAAGCTGAGTACTACAAGTTCCTGCAAATGCACAGATGAATGATGGTTCTTATGAAGTTCCCCATGAGATGTGTGGCAGCCTGAAGAGCTGGACTTGGAATAGCCCCTTGAGGCTGGTGCAGAAGGTGTGCTCTTTTGTTACACAATGACTGTGTCCACCCCCAGCATGAAAGCTGAAGGAGTTGGAGGATACAGCTGTTCCCTCATCAGCCTGTTAAGACTTCTTCTAGAATATCTTTTCCTCTGAGACATCCTAGATGGGAAACGTCCACCAGCGTCTTATTTTGGGAGCAGTGCTGGGTCCATCTCCTTCCTTTTCTCCCTCATGTTTACTTGGAGACCTGTACTGAGGAGTGCACACGTAAGCTCTTCTTGGTTCTTGTTGTCAAAAAGTTAAGAGCACTCATATTACAGCGATGTAGCAATGCTGATGCTTCCACTGAGGACCATTACTGGCCTAGGATATGCAAACCAAGGTAACATTTCTTCAGCTGAATCAAGGGATGACTGAAAAGCTGGGCACTGCCGAATCTGACAGGATTCATTAAGGAGATGCACTGCTACCCTCGGGCTATACTGTATTCCAAAACGAAGGAAAACCTTCTTCACAGATAAAAAAATGGCTGAGGAATGAACATCAAGCTTTTCCTGTCCCTTTGGGATGAGCATCTCCACTGCTTGACTCCTGCCGGGCCACGAACTTCTATCAGGTTTCGCCACCAGGGGGAAAGGCTGGTAAAGAAGGAGTCCTGGTGCAACTGGCAGCCAAGGCTGAGAAAAAAAAGCTTCTCATCCGTGTCAGTGAAAAAACAAGAGTCTTCTGCCATACACCCATAGGAACACTGATTTTTCTGGAGGGTACTTGGCTGTGAAAGTCACTAGTTCTGAAGAAGATGTTTGTGGAAGCTGAGATGCTCGTCAGATTAAGCAGGGCTAAATACATTTTCAAATCTTAGGAGGATGCCACAGCTGAGACCTAGCAGGCTCTGTCAAGCCATTGTAAACCCGATAGTGGAAATAAGTGCCAGGACAGAACTTGCAGCTTAGATCCCAGAAACCAGCTTTATGCCTATGGGCAACTCACTCCAAGCAGAAGCGCAGTGTGAGCAGCAGTGCTCACGAGATCAGTGAGAGGAGGAGGAGGTTCACAAAGCAAACGTTGCCACGGGCTCTTGCTGCTGCAGCAAGTCAAGAGAAGAATCTGCCATAGGAAATTGGTTGTTCTCCTACCAGCGGATAGTCAGAGAAGGCTCACAAGCACACAGTCATCCTCTAAGTAAAGACAAAGGTGAAAGAGCCACCCGGGGTTTTCATATAGACAGTTCCCTCATGGCACACAACTTGCACCCTTCCCACCATCTTTTCTTTGTCGTAGCTCTAGCAAACAGTTGCACTCATCAGTTGGTGGCAGGTGTCTGGGGAGAGGTTTCTGAGCAAAGCCATATCAGATGCAGACCTCCACAAATCTATGTGGAGTTCAGTAAAGCTGTAAGCATTCAAAACACCACCCCTATGTTTACAATGTGATACTCAAGATAGCGTCACGGAAGGGAGTACTGGCACGTCTGGGCTAAAGAAAAGCAGTTTGAAGCAGTTTACTATCACTCAGTTAAAGACAATTTTGATACAAAGTTCTCTAGCGGACATGGGAGAACAAAAATCAGGCATGACCCACCTGAGTTAGCCTCCTGTCAGCACAGTTTACTCTTCCAATTATGATCATGTTGGTCATCAATGGTCTGGGATATTGGAACATAAAGTCTACTCGCAGAAGCTCTATGGAGTCCTTGTGTAAGAGACCTGGCACAGTCACATCCTTCTGGAGGAACTCAGAAGCCAATTTTGCATATGGTTGAAAGACAAACTCACAGAGGAGATAATTTGGGCTGTCAAATATAACATTCCTCACCCGCTGGAGAAAGTTCATGCAGTCTGTAAGGTCTGTGTAAGTTATGACAATGCCCTGGGGACATAAGAAAGGGGATTGGGACACTGAGTGGCTTCAGATTCTAAACCACACGGTATTTGGTGCAAAGAAACTTGGAAGGGACTGACAGATGATCAGCCAGGATCTGCCCGGAGGGTATCATAGGGTCTGAAAGGACGGCATCACTTGTGCTCTCCGCAAGATATCTGAGAAGCTCTTTGTTGGACAGTAAGTGTGCACAGGTAGACAGGTACACGTGAGAGGTTATTTTTGCCTGTTCATAAAATCTAAAAACTCTTTCCACAAAAGATCCTTCTTTCAACATATGCTCTGAAAATGCCTGGAAATTTCCATCCATGTCTTCCTGTGTGAAAGGAACTGGGTACATTTTCATAAAAAAATACTTCATTGGCTTTATGTGTAAATTTATTTCTGGTGCAACGACGACTATTTCATGCCCCTTCTGCCTGAGAACGTCCAACACTTCCCGCATGGTGAACCAATGACTCCCATCAACCCACATCACCAGCAGTTTCCCACCAGCAGCCAAACTGAGCACGGACAGGAGCAGAACCAGCGTCGCCGTGACCTGCGGATGAGCACTAAGTACCGGGGCCATTTCTGCAGCAACCTGGTGAGTGCTGCCCAGAAAGCAAACCACTGGCAGCACTGAAGCAACAGCACCAGCT